TTTTTTTTTGTTTTTTTTTGGGGGAGGGCATTTTACTTGGGGCTGGCTTAAACAATAAAACACGAGGCGTGAAAATTACCAGAGGCACAGCATTTAACACCAAACAAGAGGCAAGCAGGCAACTGGAAGAGCAGCACGCACAACTCAAACAATGATAATTGCCGGACCACGCAGGCAATTAACGTTGCCGTGGCAGCAACTAAATGTGGCATTTGTTAGAGGGCGGCGGGTGGAAGGGGGATGTGTGTGTTGGTCAACTGCATGACAATTGTATGGATTGCGGGCACTTAGCACATTTGTGTTTACTTAACAACAGAAGCAGCAGCTGCTGCAGCAATTGCTGGCTATTATTGTTGTTCTACGCGCTGTTGACTTTGAGGCCGCTATTAATTTGCAACTTGCGCTGCCACTGATGAAACAGACCCCATCCCTAACCACCTTATCTTATTTAAAACATAAAACCCAATTGCAACTTTTATTGATGTGAAATTAAAGTTTTTGTATTCTAGGTTTGGATCTGCTGCGAAATGCAATTGGAAAACATTTCATTTGCAGTCGAGGATATGCCACGATGCATATTGTCAAGGCCTGGCATATCCTGTCGAAAGCGGTTGAGAATTGTAAAAATACAGAAGCAGAAACAAAAACAAAATAAAGAAAAATAAACAGAAAAAGAGCTTGGCGATTGCAATAAAAACTGCAAAATGTATTTTCAACGAAAAGTTGCGCGCAAAAGCTAAACAAAAAGTGTTGAATGCCCCCGTTGCTCAAAACTATCCAGCTCTAAAAGCAAATAAACCCAAAGCATAACAAATACAACTAGAAAAGCGAAAGAGAGTCCAAGGATTGGAGATTCGAGTACTTGAACATCTTTGAGATACCCTATTTAATAGGAAAAAGTTCTGACGTTTTTAATTGTTCACTTTATGGGCAGACTTTTTAAATCAAAGACTTCAATTATAATTCATTCTAAAGAATTTCACTTGTACAAAAATGTAAAACTATCAAACTATGTTTGCCCGCTTAATGATTTGTAAATGGAGAGCAGAGCAAATAATATATAAAAACATTTATCTATGAAATAATATATAAAAACATTTATCTATGAAAGTGCCCATCTCATATCTTCCATGGTGTGTAAACCAAACTCCCCCTTCCAGAATTTTTTGTTGGGTATGGAAAAATATGTCAGCTGGCATTTTGCAACTGCCTCAATGTGTCGTGTGTAACGGAATCGAGATCGTGATCGGCCGCTGGTTGGTTCCAGTGGCAGCAGCAAAAACTTTATTTCGCTTTTAATTTGCGACAAAAACAAGCAGCAACTTTGGCCCGAAATTGGCGACAACAGTCGCCAGGGCAAACAACGATGCCGCCAAATGAAATTTAACAATTCCATGCGAATGAAAACAGGAAGAGGCCTGGGCGGGAATGGAGACAGGCGACTTGGGCACCTTGACTTGGCGCAGGGAGCACACAAGAAATGCATTTGCAGTCGCAGCTTGTTTTTCAACATTCATAATAAATTTGTCGACGCCCACGCTTCAAAAAAAAAGCAGAGATAGAGATGGAGCTGCCTGCAATAAAAGCAATAGCAAAAGCAAAAAATGCAGCCGGGATAGTTTTTAGGTCTGCTAGCCCTCATTGCGAACCAGTTCGAGTGTAACGGATGCTGAGCAACGAGCAGGGAAACTGAAATTTATATATAAACAGGATATGACAGGCAGGAAGCTGCCACTGCCTCTGGCACTGCCCCTCTGACTTCGTCGGTTATTCAACTCCTGTCCCAAGTGCAGCATTGAGCTACTCGATACAGTTTTTATGCCCGATGCCAGTTGAAAATGTGTAAGTGGGGTATGATGAAGTTGGGAGTAAGTAGGTAACAGAAGTAAGTATAAACAGAATACACTTGATCGGCCAATTGATTTAGAATATACCCAGACAATTGAACAAATTCCAATCTTAATGAAACACAGATTTTGTTAACCAAAATGTATTTTCATATTGAACTCTGTAGTTGACCGTTCGGTTAAGGGTATGTCCCAGTCGAGCACTCTCGACTGGAGCATTCTTACTGCGCTTTAATGCCACTATTCGCTTAAGTTGCCATTGGCTTAACTAAACGTTGTTGCTGCTGGGCCACGAGTGAGTTGAATTGAGTTCGATTCAAGATGAGTTCAGTTTCAAGTGGCAAAAAAACATTTTCTCTAAATATTTTATGTGCAGGAAAACAGTTGCAAAGAATATACACATTTTTCATTGCAACATGTTTTTATATTTTTCATGCTCTACGCATATATACACTATTTTATTTATTGACAAATAGATTGCACTTGAGAAGCAAATATGAAATGTGAAAACATTTCAAGATTTTGTGCCAGAAATCGTAAAAAGTATTATTTTTACAATTTTGCTGGCATCTTCTCGTATGAGATGCTTAAGTTTTAAGCATTTGATTTATTTTTACATTTTTTTCGTATCTTATATCAAAATTTATTTACTCCAGCGCAATAAAGAATTGAGGAAAATAAAAATAAAATGTTTATTTTGCAGTAATTCTCAAATCGGAACCGAAGGCACTCAAATTTCGAATTAGGCACTAAAATTTATCGCCCGAATTGTTTGCGAGCATTGTGAACTCGATATTTTAACTATAAGATACGCAGTGTAAACTACATATTACAATAGTTAAAAGAGAGAGAGAGAGAGAGAGCGAGAGTGGAGACTGTAAATCTGTGGATACTCTCAGCACTCGGACAAGAGTTGCATATAAATCACGAATACGCAATGTGTTCCAGTGGCAAATACTATAAATTACCACGCCGCCATAATAAACAAGCCACCGAAGTGAATTGAGAGCGTCTGAACAAAAATAAACCACAAAGAGACGAGCCACAAAATGCATTCATAAAACTACTCAGTTAAATAAACTGCGTTTAATTGGAATACATTTTAAAAAGGAGGTGGATATATATATATATATATATATATACTTTTCTGGTTAAACAAGCTTGGGGCATTTTGTAAATTATCTCATAATTTATATAGCTACAATATTTGTGTGTGTGTGTGCGTGTGTGTGTGTGTCTTGTGCTCAGATTATAATCCACTGTTCAGCTGGTATAACAAACAAAATAATAAATAAGCAGCCGTCGCTGAAATATATCTTGAAAAACTCTTCGAAGCGCAAAGCAACAGCAGCAAAAAGAAATCATAACATCAAAAAGTTAACAGAGCGCCGCAACAACAACAACAAGATGGAGAAGTAGAGGAGCAGGAGAAGAGGGGGAGAAAGAGTGCCAAAAACAACAGCTGATGGCGGCAGCAGCAAACTTTAGCCAATTTCTTATTGTCGCCTTTTTGATACCCTGGCGAGGCTTGTGGTAAAAGAGTTGTCATTGACTTTACAAATTATTTAAAAATTGTTTAACAATTTAAACTTTTTACTTGCGATATTTTTTTGTTATTAAAGTTAATAAATGTGTGTATTCAAATATATGTTTATCAATGTTGCGAAATTGGAAATATAATTTAAATGTAAAGGGATAAAAACTACACAAATATTCCACTGGATTCATCCAATTCATTTATTCAAATATTAATTTATATAAAAATGTATCTTTACAGCTTACAAACTTATGAATTATGAAAAATTCGAAGCTCAACAAGAGTATTAAAATTTCGTGACACCTCAGCAGCAAATCTTCCTGTGTGTGTTACTTCAATTCCGTTATTTCTTGCTTTCGCTGAGACGAGCATATAGCGCATAAGCACGTACAAATCGCATTTCTTAGGCACTGGCCTTATCCTTTTTTATGGCAGTCTGTGTTTTCTCTGAGTGTATGTGTGAGTGTGCTGCTCCGTGTGTGTGTCTGATGTGTGTGTGTGTGTGTGTGTGTGTGTATCCGCTGTGTGTGCTTGTAAGTAGGCAACGCTTGTTTGGCTGTCAGATTTACTTGTCTACTCTCGCTTCAACTCCAGCTCTCTCTCTCTCTATCTCTCTCCCTCTCTATCTTGCTCTATATGTGTGCTATAAATTGACAGCTAAATCTGCAAAAACATGATAAGACAAGCGACATGCCAATGCGGCCAAAGATTCGTTCGACTACAACTCCCACTCCCGGCCACATCCTTTTTTGAACCAAAATATATATCTGCTATCTATGTTTATATCTGTATCTCATCTATTTTGGCCCGGTCTCTCTATATATCTATTTAACCCAACAATAACAACAACAACAACAATAACAACAACAACATCTACGAATGAAATAAGGAATCTATCTCAACTTGCTGCGAAATTGCTTTTCGATTTATTTTTATATGTCTGCCAAGTTGCGAGCATTGTGACAAATTAGTCTTTACGTTTTTCGGCTTTGTTATTGTTTGTTATTTGTTGTTGTTTGTTGCTGAGCTGGCACAAATTTTATAAGATTTTATCATCAACATTTTTGGCCAGAAAAACATGTGCGCCTTTAGTCGAATCAAAGTTTGAGTTTCAGTTTAGGTAGCAGCTTGTTTTGATTAAACTATTTTCTGATAGCAAATAAATAAAATAAAACAGAAAGTATCCAAAGCAATTTATTGACATTTATTTCAAATAATTTACGCATTAAATACGCCTGCGGCTTAATATTCTATTTTATTAAATAATACATAAATACATTGTTTAAGTATTGGTATAAATATTCAGTATATTAAAATATCAGACATGTAAATTTAATAATTCAAACGATTTTCAGTGGTTATTCATATATATAAAATAGCTGTGAATATAATTTGTTGAAGGCAATAAAAATAATTAAATATTTTAAAGGAAAAAGTTCAATTTATTTTAGCTAAAATATTTTATATACAAATATTCAATTAAAATAACACAACACACTTATTGCATGTAAATAATTGCCATAAAATAGCTACTATAATTGCCAAAAAAAAAAAAACTCGCCACTCAAAAACCTAATTTCCCATTTTCATAATTTTTCCGCCTCGCCAATGCTCACCTAAAGTCTTGGTCCATTGGGCTGTTGGTCGCCAGTCGGGATAATGCTTAGGAAACAGTTCCCTCGTCCAATAGGTGTGTAGGATGACCTTGTACACGGCCAAGCGGTCCAAAGTGCAGCCGGTTAACGGTGCTGGCTGTGTGGCAGCCACTGGAGCCGATGCAACAGCTGCTGCTGCTGCTGCTGCAGGCGAGGTATTCGCGGTGGGCGTGGCTTGATCTATTTTCGTGGCCGTGTAATAAAAATTGCGATAATTGCCATTCACACTGGGCACGTTCAAATTACCATTCACATTTGCAGCAGTATCAAAATTGATATAGTTTTCAGCTTGTTGTTGTTGCTGCTGGTTGGCAACGGTATATGCATATATAGCTGGATTTGATATGAATGAGGCGCCATAATTGCTATCAGCTGCGGCTGCGACTACATTTACCGTTAGCAGCAATGCAGCAAGCGTCGCTGCCAGCAGCGGTATTTGTTGTTGTCGTTTTTGATTTGTGAGTTTCGCTTTCATCTTGCTTTCGTTAATCCGTTATTCGTATTAAATCTTTGTCAACTGCAGCCGGCCTGTTTTATTTATAGATTCCGATTTCGATTTGGATTTTGATTTGGATTATTTCCTTTCGCTTATACCTTTTACATTAGCCGCTGCTTAAAAATAAATGCACACACTCACGCACACACATACGCACACACACGCACACTCGCGCACTTGCACACATGTGAAAGACGCGCGCGTGCTTTTATTTTTGGAGTCCCGTTTTTTCTTTCTTTTTAATATTCACGCGCTAAGAGCCAAAAGTTGATTGGGAAAATAAAGCGGACAAAAAGTCAACCGTCTGCGTGCAAAGTTCGTTGCGTACTGAATGGGTGCTTTGGAGCGCATGTTGCGGCAGGCATAGAACAGAAAAGCAGCATAACAATTTGTGCAGCCGGAGAGAGAGAGAGAGCGAGAGCGCGAGAGAGAGAGAGAGTGCGCTTGGTACTTTCGTGTTCTCTGTGTGTTTGGGGAAATTTGTTTGCTTGTGTGCGTAACAAAACAAAAAAGCAGCCTGTTGAGCTTTGACTAAAGTTATTTGTGTGTGTGTGTGATATAGTTGTTGTTGCCGCTGCTGCTGCTGCTGTTGACCTCAAGGCCTAAGGCAAATTATTGCACATTTCCTTTTCGATATTTGAATGGCAGCGTTAATGAAGCAAAGCGCCTGTCATGCAATTAACGGTAAATGGCAGAAGCGTCGACTGCTCTGCTCTAATGCTAACTGTACCCAACAGCTGCTACTAACAATGGGAACAATTTCCGATTAAAATCAATTGAAGCACTTTAATTGCTACAATTCAATTAAAGAACGCGCTAATGAACTAAACAAAAATAACAACAACAACTACAACATAAACAATGACTGGGCCACATCGATTTTCAGCGTGGGCGTTCACACACACACATACAAACACACACACTGGGAAATATTCTTCTTAGTTGAAATTACTTTTCAATTCTTTGCACATTGTTTCTGGCAGCTTAAGTAAAACTTGTCAAGGTAAAAGTTTTCGTGCCCAGGCGCAAAAAAAATAAACTCTCTCCCTCCCTCTCTCTTTCTGCCATTAACTAAATGCGTTCTCAAAACTAATCGACACTGAGGGAAATTAGTGAGATTTGCTTGAAATACTCGAGTAAATCGTGTTAACTGAGCACACACTGAGCGAAATAAGTGTAATCGAACTTAAAATGTTAGCTGCATTTAATAAATTTTGTTAAAAATTCTACTAAGTCTATTCTAAAATAGTTTTACTTGAATTCACACAAAAAATTGAGCACACTGAGCAAAATAAATGTGTGTGATTGCAGAATAATAGTCCAATGAAATAATTAAATGTAGTTAAAACTGAAATTAAGTTGAATCTAAGCAGTTTTATTTCAATTCACAAAAGCAATCTGAATACACTGAGCGATTTTAATGATTTGCTCTAATAATTAGGGGTTTTATGAAATTATTATAAGGAGTATTCTCTCTTTAAAATAGTGCAAAAATCATTTTCATTTTTATTATTTTGGATTTCACTCGATATTAATTTGCTAGATTGCCTTTGATTTCTCTCAGTGTTGCTATTTCCGGCTTTCAGCCCTTGAGCATAATTGCTATTGACACACACACACTTACACACTCTCTTCAGCATACACAAATAAGCACACACACACGCAGAGCACACACAATTATTGTAGCCAAAAACGGTCCTTCAACAATTATGTGTTGCACTTAAACGATTTGTACGTGATGTGGATTATGCCCACCATTTCCCCCTATCACTCCTCCACCTCTCTCTGCTCACCGCTACACATCATGCTCGCGTGCTTTTGTATGTAAATTATGCGTGCGTGAAATTTATTGCAGTTAATAATAATTGTCCATTTACTTTGAATGACGACCACGCAAAACAGCGCAAGCCAAATTCTACCACCCACCCAACTCTCTCCACCTCGTTCCCCCTTGTTTCCACAACTGTGGTCAATTATCAACGACAATTTCCTATTTGTCTTAAGACAGGTTGGCAGCCCCAAACCTACCCTACTCCCTTTCCCACCTCCCAGGCTTGTGGCCTTTGGGGGCTTTTATTATGCTTTAAATGGCATGTCCATTTAGTTTAGGGAGCTTTTCCTTATTTTTTATGGCCACAGTTAAATTTATGCTTATGATGTGCTAATGTTTCTAATGTTTGCTTTGCTTGTGTGCTTTGTTGATATAATGTCCAAGCAATTGTAAGCTAATGAAGCCACTAAAAATGGGGTTACATAAAGTAATTTAGTGAATAAATGCTTAATAATCAAGTATATATGCCTAGTTAACTGAAAATAATATAAATTGACATTCTAGTAATAAATACAACAAGTAAATATGCTAAGCACACACTCATAAAATTAAATTTCATAGAATTTAACAAACATAAAATAAAACCCAACATTTCCGGCATTAACAATTACATGGCGCACCACTGTAATTTGAAGTAACAGCAGAAATAAAGGGAAATTGCTCTCACAACTCTGCAGAGACAACAGCACAGGCGCTGGCAATTTACAGCGTTCGCAGCTCTCTCTCTCCATCGCTCTCTCTTTGGCTGCTCTCTCGTACCTGAACGCAGACACACCAACACACTTTGCGTTTCATTGAGCAAAAATGGAATGTGGGAACAAAAAAATAACACAAATGTGCCAAAAACAATAAAGAAAAAAACAACAACAACACGCACACACACAGATGTAAAGCACAATCAGCAATGAGCTTTGATTTCCGCCTTTCAGCTATTGACTTGCATGCAAAGCATTAACGATACACATATACACATACGCATGAACATTGCAAAATTTACTAATAAAGTTGGCATTTGCCAAACAGAGACGCAGACATGCAGACAAACAACGAAGCAACAGCATATCGAGGAATGTCTCCTCTCTGCCCTCTTCCACTCACACACATACACACATCCATACATGTGAAGCTGCTGCTGAACAAAAAGCATTGACTAGATAGAAGAAGAAGAATCAGATTATATGCATTTTTCCACACCTGGGACACGATTCACATTTGCATGTGTGTGTTAAACAATGCACGTGCTTTTGGGGGATATTTTTATGCTCATTCGTTTTTATTGCTGGCTCGAGCATTTTTTTAGTTGATTTGCTTTGTTTTTTGTAGCGCTGCAAATAAATAAATCCACTCAAAATAAATGCAACCACAGCAGCAGCAACAGCAACAACAACCGTTGGTGTGTGCTGTAATATTTTTTTTCTTTGTTTTCATACACTATACTGTAATATTTTACAGCTATTTATGCTTCACAGCTCAAAAAGCAACAACAAAAAACGAAAACTACTAAGTTCTCATCAAAGCTCACAAGTGTGTGTGTGTGTGCCTGTATGAGGTATTTGGAATTTTACTGAATTTGTTTTCAGTTTTCCTCTTTGTGCTTTGATTTGTGCACATTCGATTATGTTGGGAATTTTTTACTTTTTTGTGTGCTTGTGCAAATTGATTTGTTTTGACAGAATTATTTACCATTTAGTTTGATATTTGGGTTATGTGGTAACAAAATATTTTCTCTGTTTTGTGGTTACTGCCATTGTAATGTTGAAAATTTGTAGTGTGTAATGGGTTAAAAGGTTGTCATAGTGGGATTTATGTTGTACTCATCTAAGAATTTTGGTGGACTGTGTAAAGCTTGTCATTGTGGGAATTATGTTGTATTGATCTTGAAGCTTTGCTAGAGTGGGTTAAAAGCTTGCCATAATGGGAATTATGTTGTACTCATCTTAGATCTTAGCTAGACAGCAGAAAGGGGTGCAGGGGTGAAGATTTTCATAATGGGATTTTATTTGATTTTAGATCGTAACTACACTGTGGAAAGTGAAGTGGTTAAAAGCTTGTCATACTGGAATTTATGTTGTTCAAGGGAATCCTTCTCTTTTATATAACAGGAATTACCAATAATATTTCTTAAATGTATAAACAAATTTTGGTCTCACATTTATTCTTCCTTCAAAATGAAATTTCTTTTGTCTCAATATTGATTGTTATTTTATCAGCATATAACATTTTAGAGAACATGCATAATTGCATTCATTAAAATATCAATAAATTAATGCAATGCATTTAATTTTGTTGTTGCTAAAAAATGGCAAATTTAAAACAAAAAATCAATTATGAGCTGCAAAAAGCTAAAGAAAAAAAGAGAAAAATGTTTTGTCTATTTATAAATTTAATTGTTGTCAATTAAATTGCACAGAAACTTAACATTGCTGATTGATTACGTGTTGCGCTTTAAATGCAGCATTAAACTGCAATTAAAAAGTGGCATTCAGAAGTGAGAAAATAATAAAAAAATATATATATTCATCACTTAACTGAAAGCATTCCAAAATGATGGTGCATAAAAATGCTGCATAACGCTAAATTAAAGTTGCACAAAAAGAGGCACGTCCAAAAATGTAGCGAGAAACTGCAATGAAAGAAGTGGGCGAAAGGTGGGTGAAAAGTGAGTGTTGCAGTATGAAAAACTGGATGGCATTGCGTGCATTTTAATGAAATGGCAACTGATCTAAAGCGCTTGCCCCAAAAAACCAGTCGACTGCCTCTATGTGTGTCTGGGTATGTGTCTGTGTGTGTGTATGTGTGTGTGTGTGTGGCAACAGGTCTGAGTTACATTTTCATAGCATACTTTTCAGCTGCGCTAAAATGCTTTATGCATGAGCACCTCTTGCAACTTGCAACTGAAAGCAGCTACCGACCAGCAGCCAGCCAGGCAGTCTGACACAGTTAGGCATCAAATTATGACAGAACACAAGCGCAACCCCCACACAACCCCTGCACTAGCGTTCTACTAACCCACCCCTCAGCACCTCAGCCTTTCTGCCCAGTCGCGTTTCTAAGTTCTGCATAAAGATGCAGCAGCAACATTTAATGACTTTTTGCACCTCTTTCTTTTTCTCTCTCCCTCTCTCTCTCTCTCTCTCTCTTTGACTCTCTCTCTCTCTCCCGCTCTCTTTCTCTCTTTCTCTGTGAAATTTATGTGCACTCACTTCTAAAAGCGACGTCGAAATTTATGCAATTAATGTTCCGCAAATGCATTTCCCATGCACTTTGACACTCTCCAAATTTTTCTCCTCGCTTTTCTTTTGCTTTTTGTTGCTGTTGTTGTTGTACTTTGGTGGCAAATTAGCTTTGCGCCACAAAAGTAGATGCGCAAGCAGCGCAAGCCCAAAGTGGCATTGACAGCGTTTTTCGGTTTCGGTTGCTTTTGCGTTGGATTTCGAGGCGACGTGTTTCCCCTTTTAATTAAGCCCTGCAACACTATCTCTCTCTCTCTCTTTCTCT